CACTGGTTGGAACCACACTTTTCTAGTCGTTATGCACCATGTATCTTATACTTTTCGTTTTTTGTTCGTCCCCATGTTTGCGCTTGTTTTACATGCAAGCGGAACTGCTGCGTTTTGATTAGGGTCTACATTCTATCAGGCTACTACCCCGACAGAATTAATCTTAATTAGTGAATCCATGAAAAGGTTGTCAGTCCTTCACAGTGTACTAACATTTTTAAAGTTTCCGACTCTCTTCGATTCCGAATAAAAGAGCGCTTTCAAACTGAAGGGGTGGTGGTCACCACGTTAGGGTGATAAACTTACCGAGTAAATAGGGTCATCGGGCTTCCACGTGTAACGGTCAGGGTTCTCTTCTGGCTAAAAGTCCAAGGACATGAAATTATCTCTGCTACTCCCACTCTTCTAAACCCAGCCTAGATTAATTGCGCAGTCAGACCTTATAGGAAGCAGTTCACTATGGTCGTTGATTACATGCAATTTGTTAAAGGCACGCTCCGGGATTAGGCGCGCTCACCTGTTCCATCCCGGGGGTAGTAGACAGGTGGACAAGCGTTGATGTCGCGCCCCTTTTGCGGCTTGAAAGTGCGCGACAAAGGCGCAAGAAGCTCGTCCCCCCGCAACTCCTTTGTCCGCAAGCCCGCCTTCCGATGTCAGTTGCCACGTGACGGTGCTTGAAAAACGCGGACTCACTTAAGGCAGCGGTTGGATTGCGGCAATGTCATTAACCCTTTGGCGACAATGGCACCCACCGGTGGGTGCCACTATGACCGTCGCGTGGGACAATGGCACCCAATGGTGGGTGCCACCCTAAATTTTCTTCTTTACCCATTTAAAACATTTTCAACATATCAGTAATTATAAGCAAGCTCCGTTACGCTATGTTTAGCATATTTTACAGAAATGTTTGTTACTAGCTAATTTATATGAAATTTTAGGATGTGGCACTTCGCTCGGCGACATATTAACTAGTGTTTTACATTATTAAGCTTAAGGTGAATTACAGATCAGGACCTCTACGTCTTTTCATAGTCTTAAGACACAAGGAGGAGTTTGAACTATATCAAAAATTCTACTGTACATTTGAACTTCTAGAGTTTTCAAACACCATCCCTTTGAAATCCGAGATTTCTTTCCAAACTTCCACTTCTAATTCCAACAATACATGATCATAAAGCTTAAGACTGCAGTCATATTTTGTTTATTGTCATAGTCAAAATTTTGATAGAAAAACTGCTTTTAGGGACAATTTTGCCCCATTTTGTGCGAGAGTTGGGCGCGCCAAAAAGAGGCGTGGTCCCACGAGCACGCTACGTGCAAATCCGCATTGTCGTCAAAGGGTTAGCACTGGAGCAACTGGAGCGTAACTCTCCCACACGCCCCTTTTTTCCCAAGGTGGATTGTGGCTGAAAGAGAAGAGGTTCCTACTTGATGCGTGAAGTTTCCTTTGCTTTCTCTTCCTTTTCCAGACACTCTCCCATCTCTAGACTCATAACACACCCATTTTATCCTGAAGCCATAATAAAAGAATCGGGTAAAGCGCGCGATTTCGGAGAGTAGAGACAAATCGATCGATAGAATAGGATGGAGTAGAAGTGTAAGATGTGAATGCAATAAAGCAGAAGGCCAGAAAGAGTTTCTAGTGAAGGCACTCCAAGAACCAAGTGGAAGCATCCCGTCGCCAGCATTTGTGAAAGACGTCCGTGGGCACTTTGAACGCGTAGCAGCCCTTTCGATTTTTCGAATTTTTTACCAAAACAAAAGCAATATTTCTGTTCTTTTTTCATTCTTATCGTGGATAATGAGTCTCAAGCCAGTGATTTATGGCTGAAATAGAATCATGATTTTTCCGTGAAGGATTCCTTTAACTATGTCTGCAATCACCCTGAAACTT